TATCAGGTTTTGGCTTAATTTTTTTCAGTTCTTTTTAATTCAATTTTTTCTCTCTCTCTCCTTCTCTCTTCCTATAAGCATCTAAGCATGTCCCCTGAACATGGGCAACATGCAAACTTTCATAATACTATGTATTAATAGATCAAAGTGGGTCACGTTACGTTCATTCTGCTGGACCTTCAGTGGTCGTGGCAACCTAAGGACTTTGGCTCTGGAAATGTTTATTCTATGATTTAGTTGAACAATCTCCCTTTTTCTTTTCTCTCTCTCTTTTTTTTTTTCCTGGAACATCTATTAGTTGTATTGTGGTTACCCTGGATTGGTCGTACCTTTTAATTTTTTTCTTTCATTTACCTCTTTTTGACTTTTGTTCTACTTTTTGTGAGAAATTCCTGATTTTGTCTTTCGTGTTTTTATATTTTCTGCCAATCATGTTTTTTCAAATAAATTTTTAATTTTTACTTATTTTCCAAGTGTTCTTCTTTTAGTGATTTTCATTTTGAAATACTTTTAATGTTATCTAAAATTCCTCTAACAATAATCATTCTATTTTTACATTCTCTTTTGTTCTCTGGATTGACTTTATTTCTTCTTCAAGACATGAGTTATTTTCATTTCTTATCTTGTTTCCCCCTGCCATTCCAGCTCTTGGGAGACATTTATGAAGGAAGAATTCACTGATTAGTGCAGATAGCTGCAATGGGCTTCCTCCAGGGTTCTGTTGATTTGTTCTCCCAGCAAACCTTTTTCCCGACTGGGGGAACTGATGGTGAACTCTGTGTGTGTGTGTGTGTGTGTGTGTGTGTGTATGTGTGTGTGTGCGCACGTGTGTGTTGACTGGCAAGATTTAGATTAAATGTTGCGAGCAGACTGCTCTTTCCTGCCCCTTCCCACCTGCCACTAGCCTGTGATACAGGAAGAGTCTTACTCTGAGGGCAGCTCTATGTAGCACTTGACATGCAGGGCTTCCCCAGCAAGTGTTCAGTTTCTGCAGAATGGAGTATGGAGGGCTCTCTGCCTGGAGGAAAGTCACTGCAGGCTGCTCCGTATAGACTGGACAGTTCAGATGGTCCATAGAGTCTTTTTATTGAATAGCATAGATACCACTCCTTCACTCTTGATTTTCCTTATGCACTGACTTCCAGTTTTGAACCTGTTTAGGGTTCCATTATTTCAAACAACTCCTACCTCTCAAGTTGTTTTATTCTCTGTTTTGGTCATCCACTTTCTCCACTGTGGGTTAGCCAATTTATTTGAATTAATCTGCTTTTCATCTCTTAGAAATTTGGTAAATTTCCCAGTATTCTAGTGTATCTATTTTGGTTCTCTATATTATTATGATTTTATGCTCTGATGTTTGTTTTTTCTGTTATTCCAACAGAAAATGGGAAGGGAGAGGAGGTTAATATGTATATTCAGGTCTCCATCATGAAATAGAAACCCCCAATTCTTAAAAAAATGACTGTAATCTTTTGAAGGAATTATATAAAGTCTTTGGCATTTTCTCATAGTTCTCTGTCTTAGTCTACTCAGGCTGCCAGAGCACAATATCACAGAGTAGGTGCCTTAAACAACATAGATTTATTTCTCAAAGTCTAGAGACTGGAAAGTCCAAGATCAAGGTGCCAGATGATTTGGTTCCTGATGAGGGCCCTCTTCCTGGCTTTCAGACGACTGCCTTGTCATCGTTTCCTTACATGATGGTAAGGAGAGAGAGAGAAAGAGAGAAAAAGAAAGAGAGAGTGAGAGAGAGAGAAAGAGGGAATCTTCTTATAACTCCACAGTCCTACGGGGTTAGGGCCCCACCCTTAGGACCTCATTTAACCTTAATTTTGAGGAGACATAATTTACTACATAGCAGCCACTAATTAGTTTATTATGAGAAAAGAACATTTTAAAATATGGGTTATAGTATTTAATCCCAAAGTGATGCTACATTTGGAAAAGACCTAAATTATAGTACCAAAAACATGTCTGAGTATAAACTACTGAGATCAGTTAAAACCAGTGATTTTTAAAAATGGAATATATAACCTAGAAGACAAAGAACCCAGCACAAGAAAATACAGATGGAGTCAGTTACACACACACACATGCACACAGCCATGTGCCACACACACACTCTCTCTTCTCTCCCCGGGGCTGACAGGCTTCTCTAAACCACTGCATGCAATGTCAAACCCATTTCTTTGGCTGCACACATTTGCAGCGAGATCTTGTTAGGCCTTATCTTATTGGCAAAGGCTTACGGCAATTAAAATGGCATTGGCAATCTTCTGATCTGCCCTTATATAATAGAAAATTCAGATTAAGGAAAGATTATGCTGGTGGGGGAGATGATCTTACAACGGGAAGGGCTTTTTGAAGACAGCTTGTTCAGTTCGCCAACCGACACATACTTTCTGTCTGTAACATCCTGCTTAATGGTCTTTTCTTGATCATCTCCAGTAACGAGAATCTCAGAACCTCCAGGGGCAGCATTTCTTTCTTCAGACAGCGCATTTAAAAGGCCTTTAAGCATAACCCTGATCCAGCTTTTTGTCCCTCCCAGTCGTGTGTACTAGCCATCTCCTTTTCTATGTGTAGTACAAGTTGAAACCACTGTCATGTGGAGGAGGAATGTGATTTTTTTTTATATGTTTAACAGGGCAGGTAAGAAAAAGATCTTTTTCATATCAGAGAGTTGTCACTTCCCTATCTAAAGACGCTTGCATTCCTCAAGCAGGTCTTTTACAAAATGCAAGCTTGTTAAGTGAAAGCTTTAAAAATAATTCCATTACCCACCTTACAAAGACAGAGTGACAGCTTATCATTAGAAAAAGAAAGTCTTCACGGATGATGCACAACTTGCAAAGATGCGATTTCACCCATTATCAAAGGAGACGTACAGTAACATCCCACCAAGAGAGCTGTGCTTGCTGGTGGCCCACATCACTTTCATGGCCTCTGCTAGTAGATGAGATTCACCGCGAATATGCCTCAAAGACTGTTAAAGAACGTCTATGGGTGGAGAGTTTGGTGTCTTGAAATGCCACTTCTCGGCCTATAAAGAGAGTTCTGGACCACATGTACTCACCAGCAAATTGGTATTAACGGATCAACACCTAAGTGGACATATAGGAGTAACACTTATCGGGTGTCGGGAGGGTGGCAGGGGGGAGGAGGGGATGGGTGTATACAACCACAATGAGTAAGATGTGCAATGTTTGGGGGATGGACACGCTTGAAGCTCTTACTCGAGGAGGGGGGAAGGCATGGACAATATATGTAACCTTAACACTTGTATCCCCATAATACACTAAAATAAAAAAAAAGAGAGAGAGAAAGTTCTGGAAAGTTCTGGAAAGTTCTGGAAAGGAGCATGGCTAGCCCGTGCCGCAGTTCCTGGTACAAATTCACACCAAGGCTATGTGTCCATTGAGGGTCTCCCTGTCTGCCCTTGGGGTATGTCTGCAATGCACTAAAAAAAAGTCCACAGACCACAGGGCTGGGATGTCCTTTGAGTTATCACCTCCAATTCCCTCATCAGATAGGGAATTAGATGCTCAGAGTCATTCAGGAGGTTGGTGGCAGAGAATACACTATAATCTGAGGCTCCTGGTCCCTGGTCCAGAGATGTGTTTTTCTCTTTTACTCTCCTGTTGCAGCCAGAGTTTCTTCCTGACCTGGCACCCATGCCCAGTATGACCCTCTCCTGAGACTCCCCGCTGTTCATCCTGCCCCAGCTGCGTGGGCTCCTTACCGTCCTCGACACACTCCACCTCAGGGCCGCTGCACTTCCCACCTGTCGGCCAGGTATGCTCTCCCCGCCGCTCCCCCACTTCATTTAGGTCTCTGTTTAGATGTCACCTCTCAGGAAGATCTTCCCTGATTATTTTATTGAACACAAACTCCCCATCTCACTGTCACTGTTTATCTCCTTTCCCGGATTCACTGATCTTCACAGCATTTACCAGTGTCCTGGCATGACAGTAGGTATCGAAATATGTATATATGTTGTATATGTATGTCCCCAAGAAATGTAAGTTCCATGAAGACAGGGACCTTGTGAGTTTGTCCACTGCTATATCCCTAGCCATCTAGCTGGTGCAAATATATAGTTCTGAAGGCATAATTAAAAACCGTCTTTGAAAGCCCCTGCTGCTGTTTGCAGGGTGAGTCAAGCCAGAGTTCAGACGGCACGGCACACCGCCCCACCCCTGGGAGCTGGGTTCGGAATTTGCTCTCACCGCAGATGGTGCGGCTTCCTTGTCACTGATACCCTTTTCCAATTTATACTTGAACTCATGTATTCACTGAGCCCCTAGTATCTTGTGATAATAACTATTCAAGCCACTGGGAAATGACAGTTTGAAGTTCTTTACCTTTTAATGCAAAGTCCAGGGGAGTCAAATGTAAGAACAGATAACTACGACTCACTTTGTAAATTCAGAGGCCGAAGATTAACAGTATATTAAGAGATATAAGAACACTGAGGGGAGGAGCCTAATTTGGCTTGGGAACTGACCCCTGGTGAATGAGAAGGAAAGGTTGACCGGGAAAGAGCACCCTCAGGTGGGGGCAATGGCACTGGGCAAAGCCAGAAGCAGCTGAAGAAACCAGACTCGGGAGGAGGCAACCCAGAAGGTGACAGGGAAGGATGAGTCATCAGCGCCGACAGTCATCGATGCTTAGAACGTTGGAGACACTTGCTGTCATAGGAGCCATAGGAGCTGCGGCCGAGCACCTTTCATTCTCGCTGTATGCACAACCACAAGCAGACAGGGACGGGGGCCCTTCATATCCGGCCCACGACCCCATACACTCAAGGAATGTTTGCTAAATTACGTAATGAATACAATAACTGATGTAAAGGCGCATTTCAATAGTAGAGTAAGCACAGGGGACTGGGCACCAGGCAGCCTAGGATGCTGACGCCAGCTGCATCTGTTTAGGCATAGCCCATCCTCCATCTGCACCTTCAATTAATCACCAAATCATTAATAAAGAGGGTAAAACAAATCAGTTCCAAGAGACCTTCCAACTCCGACATCCTAGAATATCATAAAGTATTCTCTTAGGCTATTTTCTTCTTGCCACTGGCCCGTGTTAATTGATTTTAGAAGCACCATTGTGTTTGCTGCCTTAGGAAAATTGCTCTTTGCCACAGTCATGGCCAAGGTCCTTTCAAATAACCAACATGCCAGACCACAATAAGACCCCATTTATCCCCAGGTCCATTTCCCAGCAATCTGACTCATTCAGGACCTTTTGATCCTGAACTCATCAAAAGGGTCCCCTGAGTCCCCACATTAGCTGCCAGAAAGTCCCTGCACTAAAGATTGTGTGCACTGCTGCTCGTGCCTCTCTCAAAGCCTCGTAGAGTCTGGGTTCTTGTTTTCCATCCATTACTCAAGCGCGCCGCTTCCCCTGCTAGAAGTTGTCTTCCAGTTTGTTCTTCCAGGTATCCTCCTGCATGTTCTTCGAGCTTATCTCAAACTTCCATGGCTCCTAAGCTGCTCCTACACCCTCCTGCTGCCCACAGAGTCCGTTGTTCTGGCTTCCAGTTGGCACCGTCCTCGCAGCCTTCGCCGTTCTGTACTGTGGCTACGCCGATCGAGTGTTCGAGCCCGTCGACGTCAGTGCCAGGCTTGCGTTACTCCATTCCCCAGGACAGAGCCTGGCACCAAGCAGGCGTGCAGGGAGTCTTTTCCAGAGACTGCTAGCGATCCGGTTTCCTGGACCTTGGCAAAAGAAACACAGCACCCAGGAAGTGGATGGTTGAAGAAGGCATTTGGGAGAGACAGATTTGCGAGTCCTAAGCAAAATCACAGGGGGCATCTCGAGGTATCGAAGGAAGGGACGAAAGACCTAAAACCAGATACAGAACTGCATCACTGTTCAGGATGCTAATGGGTATTTAGAATGACATCTCTGAGTGATTCTGAAAATTGCGTCGTTCCGTATGGCAGATGGGAATTCAGAATTTCTGGAAATGTCAAATTCATTTCAGAAAGACGTCTATTAAAAAGAGATCACTATGCTTGCTTGGTGTTTGACAAGCTCAACTTCAGTTATCTGGAAAAGGCCAAGATGCCAGACGAATGAGACATTATCTCAAATCATAAACTGACAAGATTGATTAAATGCTGTCGCGTGCCCAGCACTGTACAGTTTGCATCATGATGAGTCCAAGGCTGGACTCTGACGGAAGCAGAGACAAAGCCGGCAGCGCGGCCAGGGTGCCAGTTGGCACCCAGCTGACTGGCACAGATCATAGGGTCTTATAGGCCCTTGGCGGGGGGAGAGGTCAGGCCAGTCTGCAAGAGACAGGGAAGGAAGACTTCCTGCAGGACGTAGGAGCTGGGCCAACCCTTGCAGACTGGGGGAGATCAAGAGTGGGCAAGGGGACGAGAAGGTTCTCTGGCTGACGGAGGCCACTCAAGCGAAGGACGTGGGGTGGAACCAAGAGTAAGTGACACTCGCAGAGTTCGGTAGAGTGGCAAGTAGAATACCATCACACAGAGCATCAGGGTATGGGACTGCGGACAGCTGCACAGAAGTATCCAGATCTAGTCATAGCAGGCAGGACAACGAAACAAACAAGCCGACAGGGCAGTGAGGCTATTACCTGGTCTAGTCTCCACCATATGGTCACGTGTGCTTCGAGCGAGGGTGAGGGCGAAGGTGCCAATGGCTGGAATCCCCCACCTCTCTTTGTCGCCTCCTCCAACGGCATCCTGAGAAGCAGGCGGCAGAGTGCACAGACTGCATTCCGCAGAGCGACTGGCTCTGGCCTTCCTCTCCGGGATCCTCCTCTGAATGCTTCATTTCAGAAAGGTCCGATTCGTTCATTTCACAGATGGAGAAACTAAGGCTTAGAAGAACAAGGTGACACAACGTGATTGTTGGAGCTGAGACTGGAACCCTGGATGGCAGTCCCCTAACTCCCAGTTTAGGGTCCCTGTTATCCTGTACCTTCCCATTTCCCCCTGTGCTTGCACACAATCTGCCCGTATCCCAGCAGGGTGGAGAGAGATGCAATATCTACAGACGTGCAAGGAGGGTGAAGGAAGTCACTTAGGGAGGTGAGGCCTGCCAGGACCACCAGCACTGGAAAGGTGATGCCATCTGTAGGCCTGAAAGCACAAAAAGAGGGGTGGTCCGCCCCGCAATCCGAGAGCTGTAGCAACGGGAGAGGGATGGCCACGGCCGAGGGTAGAGGAACACAGGCAGCCTCACACCTGCAGCCCCGAGGTGGCGGCAGTGGGGGTGATAAAGACCCTGCTGTCACTCTCTTGCTGCTCACTAACTTCCTGACCCATCCAACTAGAAGCCTGCAGGCAAGAAAGTCAAACAGAACAGTGGTGTCCATCCCCAGGGAATACAGCAGAGACAGGAAGGTACAGAATCCACCTGGAGGGACAAATGGGGTGATTCATGGAGCAGTTCTGTGATGGTCCTGTCCACCAGCCTCACACCCGCACTCCTTGTTCCTGAGGCCAATGACAGGCTCTTCTTCCCTTCGTCCCCAGTGAGTGCATAAGGCTGGACACAAGAGTGGAAAGGTGACCTGCAGGAAACTCCCACAGACTTGCTGACCAACAGCAAAGCCAGTGGGAGACAGGTTCACAATGCATAAATTTCTTCCAGGTTCAAGGACACAGAAGCAGTGAAAGAACACACTACACCCCTGGGTTAGGCCAAGGTATGGTAAAGTTCCAGAAAAGGCATAAATGACTTATCTACCTTCTTGGATGAGTAAATAAATAAAGCAAGGGCAGTGACAATAGTGACCCTGAGGACCCCCTAAGCACAACTCCAGTGGCTTCTGCACTGGGACAGAAGGTTCATGTCTCCTCTGCCTTCCCCACTTTTCACAGTCCTCAGAACACTAAATTTCCAACTGACCATACTTCCAAAGCTGACCATGCCCACATTTAGCTCACGCTCTAAGGACAATATCTCCCTCTCCCAGGGCCAGAAGATCCTGGAGGCATCCTGGATCTGCTCAGAAGAGCAGGAATGCATATTAAATGATGTCAGTGCCCCATCGATTGATTTTGTAATATGGCCTAAAAAAATTCTGGTAGCTACCTCCAGCAACATTGCCAGATAGGGATGGGTCATTAATAGAGAGTTTGACTTTGGCAAAATGAAGGCCAAGTAGAGACACCTTTGCCCATGTGGGGTGATCTGCACCTCTCAGCATTTACTACTGAAAACACAGTGTCACTGAATGTCTTTTCAACAATCAGCTTCACACAAATCGTGTCTCTAAATGCTGTGTTCACCCAATCTCAATACAACATGAATATCTGGGAGCTCACGACATTTCGTTCCTTTCCAAAACCTCTCTATGGACCAGCAACCTCCCTCTGAGCTGCAGGCTGAAACAGGATCTCCTCTCAGACCTTACTGGAAGCTTCACATTGGGTCTGTGGGAAACAGTCACCCAGTACACCAGTTCAAAGTTGGCAAAACCATACTACAAGCAGCATGTGCCCATGCTCCTTATACTATGCCTTGGTCTGCTAAGCATTTTAGAGCCTGGGTTCAAGCGTTGACTTCCCTTTTATGGAATAAGTTCTGTCCTCCCACTGCATCTCAATAACAGGTGTTGGTGACAGTCCCTTCTGCCCGTGTCAGCCAGCCTCAGGGTCAGGGATTGGGTCTTTCATGCCCACACTGAGCCTTGGGCTTGGAACACACCAGGGAGGTGGGAAGTGCTTATCGAGGCAAAATGAAGGCCAAGTAGAGGCCTCTTTGCCTATGTGGACTGCTGTGCACCTCTCAGCATTTTCTACTGAAAACACACTGCCACTGAATGTCTCTCCAACCACCAGCTTCACACAAACCGTGTCTCTAAATGCTGTGTTCTTCCAAGGCAAGAAGTTTGAGTTCTCTAAAAATCAACCTTGGAATCCTACTTCCTTCTTCTTTTCTCTAATATTCCATCAGCAAGTCATGTTGCCTGAAATTTTGAGTCCCGTATTTCCAAACCAATTGCTCCTCGCACTATCCTCCACTGCTACCCCATCACCTCTCATCTGAGTTATTGCAACAGCCCCCAAATCCATATCCCTGTGTTCAGCCTTGTCCTGACTCCACATGGAGCCAGGAAATCCTTTTAAGACTTCAGACACATCCTGTCCCTCCTCCCACCAGTGGCCTCCCCTTCTTACTCAGAGTGAAATACAATGTCACAGAGACCTACAGGACCCTTTATGATCTGGCCCTTTGTCCTTCCTCTCTGCCCTGCTTAGACACCAGCCACACTGGCCTCCACAGAGCTGAGCACCTGCCACCTCTGGGCCTTTGCACTTGCTTTTTCTTCTGCTTGGAATTCTTTTCTCCAAAATACCCACATACTTTGTTTCCCTTTTTCTTTCTAATTTCGCTCAAATGCCACCTCATCAGACAGGGCTCTTCTGATCATCTGTGCAAAATAAGACCTTCATGGAACTCTGCATTCCTCTCCTATTGATTCATTTTTATTCTTGGCACTTATCACCAGGAATACTTTATATATTTATTTATTCATTTGGTGTTTACTAATCCTTTATGTATTTGTTTACCTTTTTACTATTTTCCACCCCACCCTACCTCCTGCCAGCCTCCAGAATATTAGTTCTGTAAGTGCATTGACTGTAGTAGTGCCAGTGAGAAATTATCTGAGACTAAATGACAATGGTCACTGGGGAGATGGTGACAAAGGAGAAACAGGGATACTTTGAAGGGAAAAATGATAGAGGTTTGGGGACAAGTTTTTATTACTTAATAACTTCATTTATTCACTTCCTTTTCCTGAGCTCCTCCTGCTGGGCTCTTCCACATCCACTGGAAATGCAAGGATATGAACATCCTGAGAAGCTGCATTTGTTTTGTGACTCCCAGGAGCCAGCCATAATATTAGGAAGTGTAGACATCATTGCATCTGATGTTCAGAAGATCCCTGTGAGTAGGTGCTGTCCTTCCCACTCTAGAGTTAAAAAAACTGGAGCTCCAAGACAGAGGGAAAACAGCTTGCTGAAGCCACACAGCAAGGCTGAGCTAGGGTCAAAAATTGTGGATTCTCGTGGATTGTGAAGCTGTGGATTCTAAGCCTGTGCTCTTTCTACTGCATCAGAGGTGACTAGGACATGGTTTACATCGCCGAAGGGGTCAGGGTCTAGGGAGCTGAAAGTGGAGCCAGACATGACTCAGGGTTGTAACAGCAGCACACCCGAAGCCTCTGGAAACGAAAGGAAGAAAGAAAGGAGAAGGGAACCTCTCAAGATGTTTCAATAGTTGACTTTGAAGAATTTTCTTGCCACCAACTTTGTGAAAAGGCGTGCCCTAAGGGTCTGGCTTTTCTCATCTGCCGGGAGTATTGACAAAGTACTTCCCCAAAGTCCTTTCCCTCTCTAATCTGATGGTAAACTATGAGGAAACTGAATTCCAGTGGGCTGATTAGCAATGGGAAGTGAATAGGGGGAGGTTCATCTGGTCTTCTTTGATCTTTTTGCTTTTCTTCAATAGATGTTTCTTCCATTGCTTTCCTGTTCAACTCTAAAGTGCAAGACATAGAATCAAGAAGTTGGGGTCAAGAAAATAAGTTATTATATCAAAAAGACACTTGTGCCCAAATGTTTATTTCAGGACAATTGACAATTGCAAAGATGTGGAATCAACCTAAGTGCCCATCAATTAACGAGTGGATAAATGTGACACACATACACACACACACACACACACACACACACACACACACACACACACCATGGAGTACTACTCAGCATAAAAAGGAACGAAATAATGTCATTTACAGCAACATGGATGGAACTGGAGACCATTATCCTAAGTGAAGTATCTCAGCAATGGAAAAACAAACATCACGTTTTCACCAATAAGCGTGAGCTAAACAATGGGTACACACGATCATAAAATGGTGTAAAGGACACTGGAAACTAAGAAGGGAAGAGTGAGAGAGGTGGTGAGAGAGAAAAATCTTACGTATCAGGTACAATGTACACCATTCTGGTGACAGACACACCAAAAACCCTGACTACAGCATGATACAATTCATCCATGTAACAAGAACACTTGTACTCCCTAATACTTAAAAATAAAAATTATTTTTAAAAAGGTTGGAGTCTTCAGAGAGTATCTATGGGGAATTGGGAATCCAAGGGGAAAACCTCAGCAAGGCCTTTTTCTCTGGGGCCTATGACATCACTCACATCTCCCTGGAATTTGAAGAGATGTCAAACATTATCCAGACAGAGAGAGGCTCGGTTGTGGCAGACAGAATGCTCATGTGTATTAGTCTGTTTGTGCTTCTATAACAAAATACCTGAGACTGGGTAATAAACAATACTGGGTATAAACAATCTCACAGTTCTGGGAGCTGGAAGTCCAAGACTAAGGCTCTAGCAGGTCTCTGGAGAAGGCTTGCTCCTCATAGATGGCACTGTCTAGGTGTCTTCACATGGCAGAAGGGACAGAGGGGCAAAGAGATCCTAAGCTCGCTCCCTCCAGCCCTTTTATAAGACATCAATCTCATGTCTCTTGGCCTAATCACCTCTGAAAGGCCCCACCTCTTAGTGCTTTTGCACTGGGGATTAGATTTCAACATGAATTTTGGAGGGGACACAACATCCCAACCAGAGCACCATGGGTAAAGGATGGCAGCCTGGCCCTCTGTCCTCAGCCTTGGCAAGGGGACTGGAGGAGGCAGGAGATGGCAGTGGGGGCAGAGGTGGGTGGGAGGAAGCACACGCTTCTCCAGCTGGCATCCTGCGCCTTCCAGCCGGTTCCGAGCTGGCAAATGGGAAAGCCAGCACCCACCGTAGCCGGAGGCTGAGCTATTATACACGTCCGGGCAAAAGTAAAATTGGGGCATGGAATGGACTTCTGTTGAGGCAGGACTTTCAAAGTGTTTGGTGTCTACACCGATAGTTTCTGTTGGCACAAATGAGGTCTGTTCAGTTGAAGTTGAACCTGTCCGTAAACTCCCTTTCCTCCCACTTGCTTTCTTTGTCTCTCTCTTTCCTTATACTTTACTGAACAATGTCAAGAAATAGTACATTTATTTTTACCCAGTTCCCAGTGAAAATAAATTAGACTCTTGGCAGTGGT